CATGGGTCAAAAAAAAAAAAAGTCAACGCCGGAATCTGGTCGGAAAAAAAACATTTCAGAAAAAAAATTATTTTCTGAAAAAAAAAAAATTTGGGGGTTAATGCGATATATTTGTTTAAATCCGGGGTCAATGTGTAATATTAAGAAAGTTAGAGCATAATTGGTGGAATTGATAAGAATTATATTATGGAGGGTATTTTAGACTAAAGACATGGGAATGAGTTTAATTGAGAGACTGTTTTTTTTTGTGGACCAAAATGCATTTAAGTCCCAAGTGATGGGCCTTTTTGCCATTCGCCCGAAAATATAATGAACCAACAAATGTATTATTATGAAATATATACCACAATCAATATTCCTGCAAAAGGCATTAAACTAGTTCTTCTTTCACTTTCTGCAATAAAACATTTACAAATGCTCAGATTACAATTTTTATATTACACAATGTACGCTCTTCGATAACTCAATCGCATTACGTATAAATGAAAAATGGAAATACGTAGAAAAGAAAGAAGACACAAAAATATACATTTGTCTTTTCACATCTCGAGCCATCGTAAAATAATGTCGAGAATTTCGATTTCCATTTCTTGAAAAAGAAGTTCCGTTATTCTCTGTTTCTATTGGTTTAGGGGGGCGTATATGAGGGGTATATTTGTCTTTTTTTTTTTAGTAATGAAAAGGTGGCTATAGTATTCAGGCAACTGCATCTGCCTGCCTTCTGATTAATCGAGCATATAAGCCGTCGTTTTTTACAAGATCTGTGTGGCTTCCCATCTGAAAAAATTCAAAGAAAAATTGCGTAAAAATTAAGTCACGATAAATTAAATAATTAGGGATTGATGTTTGATTAGCCGAATGACTTTTCGGGCAACCAAACGAGGCCTAGAGAACATACCTCGATAATTCTACCACCATCCATTACGATTATTCGGTCCGCAGTTTGGATGGTCGAAAGCCTGCCAAAGACGGTTGTCAATAAATGCCAAAATTCCAATTATGCCATTGCCACGTAATAAGTATTTTGACTGAACCCACTTACCTATGCGCGATTACGAAAACCGTCCTCTTGGTTTCTTGGTCACTTTCCACAGCACGAAGAACACCCTATTTAACAACGCCAAATTAATCAACTCGAACAAAATTAGGTTTTCACTTGCATATATATATATATATATATATATATATATATATATATATATATATATATATATATATATATATATATATATATACCTTAACATTGTGTTCGCTCTCGGCATCAAGAGCGCTAGTAGCTTCATCAAGGATCAAAATGCTCGGGTCTCGAAGAACAGCTCTGGCAATAGCAATTCGTTGCTTCTGCCCCCCACTAAGCAAATCATCGTCCACTAGTGTTTGGTAGCCATTAGGTAGGGCCGAAATGAAATCATGAGCAAAGGCCTGTTTGGCTGCCCACTCCACTTCCTGCTCACTAACTTCTCGAGGGCACCCGTATTTTATATTCGAACTAACATCCATACGGAATAATCTTGGCTCCTACACATGAATATTATATTCAACAATTTTCTATTTATTTTTTTTCAAATTAAATTCGTTTACGGAAGAAAGAAGATATTGAGCTATATATACATACCTGTCCGACGTATCCAATCTTTTCCCTCAAATACTTAACGTTCAGTTCTTTCATCGGATATCCGTCAATCAGTATCTGATTTTGGACACAGCCAATGTCGATAAAATAAGAATCACAAAATAAATAATCGAAATTATGTGCTAATTAATTATCGGGGGATTAGGATAAACGGGTTTTACCTCGCCGTTT